TGATCCCCGCCTTCGCGTTGGAGGAGGAGAACCTGACCGAATTCTGGAGACACCGGAGCGCATCCGCAGCTTTCTACCGGAGCAACAAGGTGACCCGGGAAGGGAGAGGGAGGAGAGGCGAAAAAGTGGCGGCGGAAGGCTCGGGGGATTGAGACGTGCGCTGTGCTTCCTCGGCGGCGGGGCTCTTTCTCCTTTCCCTTTGGCCCCCGCTGGGCTCCAGAGGCGAGTGGGAGCTGCGTGCTCCCGGTGCCCGGGCGAACTCTCGGCGGCGGGTTGGAAAGAAGCGGTGCCGCTGGGTTTGCGATTGGTCTAGCAATCTCCTCGCTCGCCGAGGCAGGCAGCTTAAGCGTAGCGTTTGCTGTGCCGACGCGAGGAGTCTCCCCGGGGCTGGTTTGGACCATATCCTCATCCGCGATTTATACCGTCAGGTAGTGGCGTCCAAACATTGATGTGACAGTCCTGACGGTGAAGCTAGTAGAAGGATTCCTACCTAATGAGGAAATGCACTTCCCCGGTGCGACGATCTGATGATCTCAAGCCGCCCCGTTGTGACTGCTTCCCTCGGAATCAGCCCAGTGAATTCAGAGGGTCTTCTAGGGAGGCAGGCTGTAGATGAAGTGGGTTATGGGCCACGAAAGCTTATGATTGCGGGATTATATGAATTCGCCCTTAAACATCATAAAAAAAGAAAAAAAGGGAAGGGGGAAGACAGATCTGGTGCACTAGTGGACTAACACTGCTACGCCTCTGGAATCTCCTGATTCCACTGGCTTGGCATCTCTTTGTGTGCAGCTGTCAGTTCCTAAAGGAGAAGGATTGGAAGTTCTTTCTTTGCCTTGAAATTCCCCATTATCAAATGCCAGGCAAGGTGGGCCTGGATTTATCTAGTCACGAAGCATGTAATCTCCAGGCACTCCCCTCATTGCAGTCTGCTTGGTTTGCTCCAGAGCAAGGCCCCAGTGTTTCAAACAGCCTCCCAGGGAGGGACCCTGGGACAATTCTAGCAGTAGTGCCATGGCAGGGTGTCCTCAGTCTATTTCCCCCTCTGTCTGAACCCTGGGTTTCCCCATGTGGATTTGGTGTTCTCCCTTGCCTGGGGCATTCTGCTGCCACATTCAGACTCCTGATGGAAGGCATGATGAGAATTGTAGTGATGGGTGGTTGAATCAGAAGGCACAAGCTCTCTGCATGGTGATTTTGGTACCCAGATGTGATGGGAAGTAGGAATAACCTTGAGGAACAGGAGGAAGAGCCACAACCAAGGCACGGTCAGATAAAAGAAATCTGAGTGCAGGGCAGAAATGTAATTTGAGTAAGCATCTCAGACATGACCCTCCCTAGTTCTCATGAAGATAATGGAAGAGGGGGAGAAGCACATTCAGACTTGCAAGATTCTGTTACTATAACTTTATAATAAAGTGATATTAGCATTCATAACTCTGGCGTCCTAGTCTGGTCTCCTTTGAAGGGCTGATGCCGTGGACAATGACAGGCAGGGCCAGATTTAGACATGGTGATGGCCCTACGTTATGGGAAATTGTAGAGGTTCTGTTGGTAAGTGGTAACAGAGAATAAGGCTGTGTGACATCTGACCTTGGCAAAAATGCAATCAAGATGCATAACAAACCTATAATGGAATGGAGAAGGGCTCTTTCTGCATAGAAAGGTATGAGTACATGCAGAAATAAAGCTTATCTTAATTAATTAATCCATGGGGGTCCTGTGAGCCATAGAGGAGGCTTACTTTTTGGAGACTTTCAGATACGAAATTATAATAAAACTGGTACAAATGAAAACAAAAAGCAAAAAACAAAAAACAAACTGACATTCTGAAAGGCCCCTTCAGACTGCAAACTCCTAAGTGTGGCTTATGCCTAAATCCGGCTCTGGTGGCACGCCGGGAGAGCATGACACAAGATCGTTTAATTTTTTTTCTATAAAAGTTTGTCTGGATTTGTTGTATCTATAACCAGTGACTCACCAGTGGTTTACTGCATCTTCTTAGCCTCACTCAGCTTTATTTTGACACAGAGATGGTTGGATGATAGTACAAATAAGTTGCTGGTGGGGAAATAATACACAGTATGTTGCTACTGTGCTTTATAAAACAATAGAACTCCCTTGGAGGATCTTTAGAACAGTGTTTTTCAACTTCAGCAACTTTAAGACCTGTGGACTTCAACTCCCAGAATTCCCCAGCCAGCATGCTGGCTG